TTCAGCATGTGCACAGGTCTGCCTCGACATCCTATCTTGGAGGCAAGATGTGTGAGCAACAGCAGACAAGCTGCTTGCAAAGGCAGCTAGGCTTCACTGTGTAGGTAGGATTGAAAGAAGCTGCATGCGAAGCATGATCGCTTCAATCGACAAGTCGGGGAAGGCATAGCCATCAGGTTAATCTCCAGGCCGCAGTCGTATTCGGAAGCTCCGCATCCAGCGGCTGGCACCTGACCCAACAACCACTCTGACCAAAGCAAATGGTTTGCCTCGCGTTCTTTGTGTGCGCGCCACCTTAGCATGAAGAGAGACGGGCAAAGTCGCGTCCACCAAAAAAGGCCAGTAGAACTCTGCTATACTGCTGGCGTTTGCTCTTGAGATCTGTTCATACAGTTGAAGTACCGCAGCTCGGTTGGCCCAACTCAGCTTCAGAAGGCAAGCTTCACCTGAAGCATACTCAACGGACGAATCTCATTGCCACGTCTCCCAGAAACAACCCCAGTCCGCCGCGGCTCTTCGAAAGCTGCCACCATGGGACAGACATGTTGCGGAGAAGGACCGCATGGCCAGCCGCTGGCCCAGCCGGTTTGCGAGTTCTGTGAATCATTGTGAATCTGAGCTACTTGAAAATTTGAGAACGGAAAATCTCACTGGAGGTCCGTGGGCTTGAGCAATGAGGACTTCATCAACGCCATGGGAAGCATTGCTGAGGATGCTACTTTGGCAGGCGCGTTTTGTACCTTCACTGGCTCAGCTGCTGAGAGTTTAGGCTTCAAACGCCCAACATATAGCAGCCACCAGGAGTTGTGGCTTCCCTGACGAAGCTGGCAGAGGACGAGTTCTTATTGTCAATGATTTGGTTTTCGTTTTATATTCTCATTCTCTCTCTGTATGCTCTCCCTCTTGCCTCTCTCTCTCTCTCTCTGACTCTTCTTGCTCTTTCTCCCCATCTTGATGCAGACATGCTTTCACCTGCTACTCACCTGCTACTCTCAGGGGTCCACGTGCCAGCAGAGCATGGGCTCAAACCAACTTTAGACATACCCTCAGTTTGTGGGTGGTCTAGCATGGCCTTTTTCCATGTCAGCTTTTCCTACCCTGACCCATGTTAGATCCCAATGCGTGATGTCGAAGCAGTCATCAAGGCTCCAGAGCTGGTTGAGAAACTCGAGGGTTCGAGGGCTGGAATCACCGCAAAACAAGAAAAACCAAGTCTAAACTGAGGTTGCGGAAATCCGTGGAAAATGCTTGTTCAGACCCCCACGAACTGTCCAAGCCGCGCCGCTCGGGTTTCGCGGGCAAAAGTTTTTCACAACGGACGCTGGCTGCAAACCCAAGGTTTTCGCCCTGATCAAAACCATGGCCGCATGATATCCTTCGTAACCAGCAATTACGCGAGCCTTGCCAGAACAATTGTGCGCTTTCCGATGAATCTCGGCGAAATGCCAGTTTCGAGATGAGGTGAGGTGAGGTACAGCGAAGGTTTGACTGCTACGGCGCCGGACTGGTGTCCCGTAGTAATCTAATCTAATTTTGTTTCGCTCAAACATAAGGGATGGACCATATGGGTATGGGACAGGATGATGGTCGTGACTCACGCCCCTCCGGGGTTCTGCATGGGCTTTGCCTCTTTGCCATGTCCATCTCTCTTTTTGTATTGTGGTTGAGAGGTCCTATTATTTGGCTGTTGTGCGCACAACAAAATGTGAGGCGGAAGGGGGCCAAGAACACCTAAACGCCTTTCGTTCTGTATTTCAGGACCACCCTTTCCTCAAGCCGACGGGAACCGCACCTTGGCAAATTTTGCCTTGATCGTGCAGCCGTGCAGCGGCTGAAGCAACAATGGTATGCATACAGAGATTCCGATATCCCGTTGTTAAAAGCAGGGATCCTAGTATATTCCCTAGTCAATGAGCGGATCGAGATTTTTGTTGTGGCGCCACAAGCCGGAGGATCTTTTTGCGTAGCTGCTGTTGGGCACCCAAGGAATTCGCTCCTCATCCTCTTCTGTACTGGGTGAGGCGTTGCAGAGAATTTGCGCTCCCTGGCTGATAATTACAGCTTCTGTACATCAGCATGCGAGGAACATCTTGGCCGAAACCTAAGCATCCTGAAAATATTCTGAAATCGGAAATCACAGCCTGGCGTGCGAGAGCGCGAGTGCGAAATTGGTCCAACACGTGTCGCGCCTGAGCTGGTTGGACATGGGTTGGAGTGTTGGAAAGTGCACGAACTCTGTGAGAGGTTGTCGAAGAAGACGGATGAAGCACAAGGTTGCTTAGATCGTATCAACAGCAGCTTGGAGTACGAGATTGCGCAGGCCTTCGGGTGAGAAACTCAGTTCTCATCAGGTTTCATCAGGCGAAGTATATCCAAGGAATTTGGAACCGTCCCGTGCTGGTTTTCTGGGGATTCTCCTGCAACACTTGCCCGAAGATTAACAGCACGGTTTGCATCATGACTCATTCCGCATGCATTCATCTCTTCACTGCGTACCAGATCCGGGACTCCTTCCGCCGCTTTGACCACGATGGGTCTGGGCACTTGGACACCCAAGAGTTCCTTGGCTCTTGGCCAACCACATAAAGCCATGCGGTTAAAGAGCTACTTCGAGAAAGGCTAATTATGATCCAGATCCCAGATCTTGCATTCAGATCGCAGGTCTTGCAAATCTGCTAAATGTAAGATTGCCTGTTGCTTAGAGATATGAGCTCAACAGCAAGCAGTGAGAAACAGAATTCTTTGGCACTCGTTGTGTATGATTTGCCATAAACATCGGCTTCACATGGCCGGGCGAAGAAGTAGAAGCTCAAGACGGGTACAAGTCACCGCAAAGCCCGACCACCAAAGCTTAGGTTCAAGTTCATGTGTGCCTACATTGGCTGGGGCGAGGAGGAGGCAAGCGTGATGGACCCTTGGTGAGATTTAGAATCCGAGAGTGTTCACGACTGGAGCGGCGATGGTTGCAGGAGGTGACGCGCTGGCAGTTGCATGTACTCTTGCAACAAAAGGTGCTGTTTGGATCAACTCCCAGAGTGTTTGCTTCTCTTTTTCCGATACGTCTGTGGCTCTTCGAAGCAACTGCGGGTAGCTCGCCCCGTCAAAAGGCACACGTAGAGCGCGCGTGGCTGCAAGTTTTTGCAGAGCTGGGAGCAACTACCGAATGCCGAATGGATCCTGCACTGAGGATCTGGACAATGACAGCAAGGTGACTCTGGATGAGTTCCAGCGGTTTGTCGGGCACATGGGTGGCCTGCAGCAGCTTTTCCAGCAGCGTCGCCAACGCGCAGCTTGGCAGGACGTTTGCAGAGGCAAGTCGTTTTGCCGCTCTGTATTCTGTCATATTCTGTCTCTCTCTCTCTCTCTCTCCTCCCTCCTTCCCTCCTGCCTGGGTCGACATTGCGCTTGCTGAGAAATGCACACCACAGTTCCAACAGTGGGCAACACCCAGGTGGCACGGAAACAATGGGGCGTGGAGGCGCCGGCCATCATTGAGGCCTCCATTTTCACATGAGAAGAGATGTGAGAGAGGAGAGCTGCTCGGGTGCTTGCTTGTACCCAGCCGCCTGGAAAGGTCGGTGCTCGTGTTCAGGCAGGGCAACGGGGGGAAGAAAGCCAACACGGGAAGGGTTGAGAGATGTTCAGAGTGGCCTGACTCCCTGGCTTCAGGCATATCATCACACCGAGGACCGGACTTAGCAGGGAGAACTGCTAGAGCAAGGAAGCAGGGATGCAGCATTTATAGGTTGAGGCCCTGCCCCCAACATGCCCTGAACATGCCCTGAACCCTAGCAGGATGGCCAGAAGTCGACGACTCTGCGGGAAGCGCAGGTTCTGGAGCTCAACGTCATGCCCAGCAATGGCGTCGGGACCCCAACAGAGTCTCGGTAGCTTTTGCGTTGGGACAGCCAATTCCAGGAACCTGCACGGGGATCCTATGCACATGAGCCTGTTGAATGGGCGGACTGCCTCTGGGCCTGCGTTGCGGGCACTTGCGTGCGCGACTGTCTATGAGGGATCCCTGTCAAAAATGTGCACCGGGATGCTTTGTGACACGTTCGTAGGCTCTTCGGTGGGCGGATTCCCTTGGGGGAATCGGGGAATCTGATTTTGGGCGGGCTGCGTAGCACGTAGCGACGTAGGGTGCTCCCAGGCTTGCTCCTGAGACCCCTGCGCTTGTGCCTCCAAAGGTGTGGATGTGGTAGCACATCTCAGTCAGCCTAGCAGAGCCTAGCAGAGCCAGCAGAGCCTAGCGTGTGGTGCTGAGCAACTCTCAGAACATTTGTCTCTGCTGTCTCTCTAAGGTCAGGTGGCCTGGCTGCATTGTAACAGCAGAGGCTGTTGAGACAGATGGAAGGGAGCAGCAGGAATTCTATGCAGAGCTCAATCACGTGTCACATGGGGAAAGCTGCCATGCGATGCTGAGTCCAGCCTTGAGGCTTGTCTTTGGCTTCGGAGAGGGCCGAGACGCTCGCCAAGAGCGGCAGGCCGCATCAGGGCTGCGTGGCGAGAGTTTCGCTCAGTTCCCGACAGTTTCCTTGCCTGCAGTTGTTGTTCGAAGGTGGTTCCGCCGAACTGGATATTTAGCGACACGCGTGATAGCACCTTGGCCTCCTTGACCTATGTGCAAGGAAGCAGAAAAAGCCCACAAGTTGTGCATCCGACGAATCTTTCCGGGCTACTCATCGTACCGCAGCCATTCCTGTGCCCGAAGGCTCAAGGTCCTGCATGTCCTCAGCATACTAAGGCGACGTCGTGGCGGCATTGCGTGAGGTTGGAATCCTCGAGGCGTGACATCACAAGGAAGTGAGGCTGTGAAAGTTCATGATGAAGAAGTTGCGCGGTTTGGCCCATTCCGATAATGCCCAGAACACATCTTGAAAAAAGGCAGCTCACTGCACTTGCTGAATGTGAAGTATGAGGGGTCTTAGGCTGCTGGGAACAGGGCATGTCCACAGGAACAGCAAGGCTTCTGGGCATCGATCTTCCCGGAGTCAGAGATGCGAGCAGTGCAGCGTCTGACATCTTGCCAGCTCCCTGGCCGCACTTGAAGCAGCGAAAACAAGAACCGGGTTCTGCAGGTCATGGAGGCCTTTGGTTCCTAACGCACCCCTCCCCCCCTTCTACGCTTCCTTCCGAAGCCGCCTGCTTTCTGCATTCAGGCGTGCTGCGCTCGCCAACGTCAGAGCCAACGCAGCTCTGAACCACGTGGCCTGGTGTTGACACATAGGTCACCGAACTGAGCCCTGAGATTGCAGTGATGGAGCACCATAAAATAGGACAGCAGGAGCATCTGGAGACCCGACTGTTGCAAGGACAAGGCTCTTCCCGAAGTGCGGGACCGCTTCGCAAGGCCAGGTGCCCTGAAAAGATTCCGGACAATTTTGGCAGATGCTGTTGCAGCAGGCTTCAGTCGCCTCATTCGGACTCATTCGCAAGATGTCGCAAGATGTCGCCAGATGTCGCCAGAGTGTGCCAAGGCTTGGCTACGGGGAGGCGGAGCTGCAGGGCGTGCTGGGCTGGATCCAGGATCTTGCCCCGATGTGCATTCACATTCACATTGGCACTGTTGGGCGGTTTTTGGAGACCGACGAGTACTACCGGAGTCAGTTCGAGACGGGAACGTCCTGTGGTGCTTTGGATGACAAGAACCAAATTCGCAAAGACTGGGAGACGGAACTTTTCGGCGGGGCCTATGATGAGGCAAAGCCTTTCGAGCGATGCAAGTACGGGGCTTTGGGTGTGATGAACGATTACAGAGGCATCACATCAGCCTACCAGTACGGCGACTCCTACTTAGTCTTGAAGGATGTCCGGCTCCGAGCCACCTTCGCCGCAACGGACTCCGGCGGGATCGCTGGCTCGCGGCTGGCGGTACTGGATAAGTACGCCCATGTGCTGAAAGAGTACAACGACAACGAGCTCCACCGACTCATCGAGGTTGCGATGGCCAATACGTCTCTGGACGATGTGCCGCGCATCCAGCCGCAGCTGTTGCGCGGCCTCACATCAGACACCACAAACGACTGGGTCACCATGGGCTTCCCCGACCTCCCGCAGAAGAAAGGCCGCTACTACTTTGAGGTGGAGCTCATCCGAGGGTGCCAGTCCCCACAGGTGGGTGATCTCTCCAAATTAGAGGGTCTCTAGCTTGCGGCTTCGTAACTCGCAAGACTCGACTCAAAGGTAGAAGGTGACACTGGTCAGGCCAACGTTTCAAGATTTCCAGGGCTCCAGCTAGCGAAGCGCAACTGGAGGTGGGCTTGCTGAGCAGCCGCTTCGAGCTCGCCCCTCGGACCAAAGGTCAGCACCTCTATGGTGTGGGGGACGACGTGCACGGCTGGGCGGTGGATGGGCAGTGCCTCGAGGGCAAGTTGAAACGATGTGGGGTCCCTCTTTCTTGGGGCTTGAAGAATGTTTTCTTGGCAATTGGGTTCTGTAGGCAAGTACTGTAGTCTTCCGCCTTCTGACCTACAAGCTTTGATCCCAAACCCTCCAACGAACCTCTCATGATCCTCAAAGCCACTCCAGGCACTCAATCCTCTGGCACAACGGGAAGAAGTTGGCCTGGAGTCGATCCTGGGCCAACTCCGGACGCGAGCTCTCACAGAATCTCGATTGTGCTGTTGGCCGGGGTGGGGCCAGCAATCCAACACTTCCCTCGTGTGTGAGTGAGTTCTGAGTGACTGAGTGAGTGAGTGAGTGAGTGAGTGTGTGAGCGAGTGGGTGTGCGTGTGTGCAATTTTCGCATCTGACACCAAGTGCCAGTGCTCAGAGCAGAATCGGGAGAATCGGGGGAGCTGGCCGAGGAATGTCGTCGTTGGCATTGCTGTGGACGTGGATGCCGGGAAGATCTGGTTTGCCAGTGTCACTTGGCCTCAAGCGCTGCGTTCTCCAGATGCCGGAGCCTGCTTTGAAATTACAATCGTTTACAATACTCTTCAACTATTCAATGCAAGTGACACAAAGTCTTCACTCAGGACGGAGAGTGGGATGAGGAGGCCGACCCCAGCTTCGGCCCAAGCCTTGTGCCGAAGGGCTCCATGCTCTACCCGGCCCTCTCTTTCAAGGGGCGGGCGCAGCTCCTTTGTCTTCATTAGACCGACCTCACTTGCACTTCTGGAGTCGGGAGATGTCCATTCCTGTCCTGCAGGTTCAACTTCGGCCCGGACTACAAGCACAGTGCCCCCTCCTTCAAGGGCAAAGCATTCCTGCAGTGGCCTGGGATGTCAGACGGCGTCGTCCGCGCCGACTGTCCCATCATCGGCAACTCGAACAACGTCAACATTTACAAAGAGAACCCCGGCCTCGGCGCATTTTTTCTGTTTTCGGACTCATGTGATCAGATCTGTGGCGCTTCGAGCCTGGAAATTCTGCAAGTATGAAGTGTCCAATTCACCCGCATGAATTCCCCCAACTAAGGATCCAGCTACATGGCGAGGTGAGCCTGAAGCGCAACGTTCAGCGGCTCCCTGCCCAAAGTGCGGAATCTGAGCTAGATGCGGCATAGGTAGACTGGATACTCTTCAATTTCTTGATTATCCAGTGCTAGCGTAAGAAATGAAAATCCGCCCAATATTCTGCACCACTGCGGGAAGAACATCGACACAGTACTGGTGGCATGCTTTGTCAATGTTGCTTGCTAGTGCAAGCCTCCTGACGTTCTTGGGCTGCATGAGACCTCCATGGTGCAATGGGCCTTGCGTCGGCACGAAGTTCAATGGTCGGATCCGAGTCGCAATTTCTTTTAACCGCCAAGTCCACCTAGCGCTGACCTTACCGTGCCTTCAGCAACTTTAATTGGGAGAGTTCCCGCCAGTCGGGCATAATGGGGCTGAACAGGGGGATGCCGAGCACTGCCACGCTGCAGATAACCTACTGACTTACCATGATTTACCATAAGGGCATCGCGAAGCCATTCCTTCCTGCAGGCTTGTGGCCAACCGCAAGCACCTCGAGGTGAGGGGACCACAAAAGCCTTCGGAATGAACTTCAGCTACGTCGAGACACCTCATGGTTTGCTGACCCACCCTTTTGCAAGACCTCAACTCTCCAGGAAACATCACAAAACTTAAGGGAACAAGCCGCTGAACATTCCCGACCCCGACCTGGAGGTGTCCAAAAGTGACCGGTCGTGGGCCGTTCGGGTGGATGGGATGGACGATGCTGACGGTCCTGTGGCCTCAAGATTGGAGATGCTGGGATTTAGGGCTCGCGTGAGGTGGAGAATTGTGGCTAGCGGCTAGGGTTTGGGTTGTTGTTTGGTTGTTGTGTTCGAGGGGTGGCTTGAGAGGCTTATGTCATCATCGTGTCGTGGCTTCTTCAACCTGTTTTCAGCTCGAGCTCCTGCGGCTGTGTGCTGGGGTCTGGGTATTGGAAAGGGGCTCAGAGCGAAGGAACGATTGAGCGATTCTTGTGGGCACCACAGAGCAGGGTTTACTCATACCAACCCTGCTTGCTTTAGGAGCTTCTGTGATGGAGGGTCGAGTGGCAGCTTTCTGCACATATGAGGTAGCTATACGCGAAGTGGAGCACGACATGGCAAAGCCATGTACAAGCAACAGGGTGGCCGCTTCGAAATCTCGTACGACAAAGCCTCTGGCAAGTGGAGGCTTACTTCGGATGCCGCTCGGCTACGTGCGAAGCTGCTTACCAGCATAGTACTGTGGAACTGTAGGCGCTTCCAATATGACATAAAGCTGAGACAAAGCGAAGGGCATCCGCGGAGCAATCGGCATAGCTGTAGCAAACGCCGAAAAATCTTTGCGTTGCACATGCGCCTTGCGGCAATGCTCCTCATGTGGCAGGCCAGCCAAGAAGACAAGTGGATCGCAGAAGTGCCTGGAGACGATTCTTTCGAGCCGCCAGATTGTGCAGAATAGAGCTTGCTTCCTTCGGTTTCAGTACAGCGCTAGATGGCTTCGTGGGGGCCAGCCGGGCAGATTCACAATGCAGACACCAAGAACTTACCGTCCGAATGCGAGCCAGCAAAAGCCGAGGCCACCTCGATACGGTTGGCTGGTCCCGCGAGAACGGCAGGGGCGTGTGTGGCCGGGCAAGCATTGCGAGCTGAATCAACTAAGATATTAGTTGATAGGTGTGTCATGTGGTTTGCTTGAGAGCTGGTAGAAGTTTTGTCGGGCATGTGTCTCTCCGGCTTGATCAGCTTGAGGAATGTGTGAGGCTTGAGTGAGGAGTCGCGCTTGCGTTGGGGAGGTCAATTGAGAACATGGAGAACACGCCTTTCCGTAGTCATGATTTCAAGGCAGACTCTTCAAGCACGACTGCAATGCTGCCACAGTAAAACTACTCATCACAAACAAGATGCCACCACTCGACTGGTAGCATGCTGTGCCAGACAACATCTGACATCTCTATTTTTCGGGTTTCAAAAAGACAGCCACCCCGTATACACATGATCCAAATAACAACGCAGAATTGTCAAGTAGTGATCTTTTTAGAGATACTACCTCACCATGGGTAATCCCACGTGTGTTAAGCTGTTGGGGTTGCCTTCCCAGCAGAGACATGCAGGCTAGATATGCTAGATGGAAAAGTGTGCCCGCTGTTTGCACGCAGTCGGCGCGGTAAAGGGCATGGGCATTTGGACCCCATACGAGCATCCGTTAAACTTCGAAGACCTATTTTGCACACACCGTACCAGGCCTGTGAAGCTGTTCCGCTCTGTCATGGCTAAACTCGGCCTCAGCAATGACATGCAGGATTGGCTTCCGTATTGAGATGAGCGCCATGCAGTCAGCCTCGGGTTCCGTTTTGGGGTTAAGATAGGTTGAGGATGGGACGGAGCTATGAGCACGCCCAACTCAGTTTTTACAATCGGCCAAGACGGGTTTCGGGATGGGACGGCCAGTTGGTTTCCCATTCCCTGTCAGCCCCATGCCACATTTTTCTCATTGCAGGCCCAAGGAAGAACATGGCCGGTGGGGGATCGCAGTCGAAGGTTTGTAGGGAAGGCAGTGTCGTACCACCAGTTTTGACGAACTGGCACGGCAAACCCATGCTTGGAAGCGTGTGGAGACGTGCGTTCTTAAAGCCTGACAGGACCACCTCATCAAGTCCTTGGCCGAAAAGGCCGCCGATGCCTCCGAGGAGGAGGTCTTCCGTGTGGGTGAGAGCAGCTCCGAGAAGACTTGGCGGGCTTTTGGGGCCAGAGCCAAATCGGGTTGTGGCGCTTCCAGAAATTGCAACGGTGGAGATTGGGGCGAGATGTCTTTGCAATGCTTGTCTTTCGCAGGGGGGCTTGGGTATGTTGGGGATAGCAGCAGCCTGGCTTCTTTATCTTTGTCTACTTCGGTATTTTCAATACGTGCAGCCTCAGGCTTTCGCATATGTCTGCCCAAGCCATTGTCACTATGGTGGCTCCAGGCACCACCTTCAAGGACGAGTGGACGCAGCTCCAGAAGGAGAACAAGGTCCAAAGCACTGCAGAGGATGCCTGGTCCCGATGTCTGCAGGCGGCGCAAGACGAGGTGCTTGCACGACGCTAGGTTCAAACTCCTCGCCTCAACCAGTTATGACTTTTTTTATAGGTGCGAGAAAAAATCCGAATCACAAGAACATGGAGAGTGTCCAGGACTGTCCCTTCAAAACGTCGTCATCGTCGAAACGCCCACACATCCCTACCCGGCCCGGGCTCATTCCTGGACACAGGACTTCGGGGCGACATGCACCGCCAAGATCCACAGTTACATCTGTAGCCTGCTTGTCCTTTTGCACCCTGCTGTGCCCATGCGTGCAGGACGTCCACATCCCGTCCGCCAGCAAGCTGCGTGTCAAGTTTTCCAACCGCTGTGCAACGACGGACGATTGCGCCTCCCTGCAAGTTCTGGCAGGCCGGGCGCGGGCTTTAGGATGCCGAGATCGATCCCACGGCATGCATCGCACCGGCACGAAAGCCAGGTGGGCTCAGCAAGAGCGCTGCCGGCGTTGGGGCCCGTGCTCACCTCAAGGCAATCACCGGCCCCGATCAGGCACAGTCCGTGAACCTGTGTCAAAGAGTGTTGCAATCACACCTTCTCAAGGGCCGCAAGCAATTGGTAAAACTTTGGGGTTTGGGATTCCCGAAGCTACCCAGGCGGGTGAGTGATGTCGAGCTTCTGCCGTGCTTGAGCAGCCTACCCATGCTGAAACCTGCTGTATGAATGGCCGACCATGCATTCCCAAATTTCCTAACGCTTGCATGAATCTGCCAGTGCTTGCATTAATCCTGTCCCTAAACTGAGTCCTTGCTGCGCACCTCGCCAGACGCGTCCCCCATTTTCATCTCACAAAGCTTTTTGTCGACCCGATAAAGTGGCTAACCCAATACGACAGCCTTAAGTATATCGCAAAACATTGAGTACCAGAATGGCCAGGTCCATGGCACTTTGGCGGGGCAGGCTGAAGGCGGAAAATGGAATTTCGTCTACAGAAGAACGCTCTCCTCTGTGGTAGCGTCGTGGTGTGGCGTAGCAGTAGCAGTAGCAGTAGCAGTAGCAGTAGCAGCAGCAACAGTAGCGGCGGTAGTAGCGGCAGCAGCAGTAGTCGTCGTCGTGGTCGTGGTCGTGGCAATGGCGAGAGTGGTGCTAGTGATAGTGCATGTAGTCGTCGTCGTTGCACATCGTCGTTGTAGCAGTTCTCGGTGTGGTGTTCGTGGACTGGTAGGAGTGGTTGCACTAAAGCAGCTGCAAAAGGGAACTCGTGCCGTGCAAGCAAGGATCGTCAACATTGACAGCGACGAATCTGAGATCTCTGGTTGCTTCAGCACCTTGGAGGCTTTTGTTTCATCCGAGGTTCGAATCGATCCCATCCTTTTTTCCTGGCCCCACCTCTCTTCACAAAGGACGATGTACATGCCAAGTTTCTGGCGGTTGGCCGGTTGTTTCTGGGGAGGTCGGGGAGAAAGTCTGTCCTTATGTTGTTCTCGTCGATGGCGCCTAGGCCATCCTAAGCCGTCGAGGCTGATGATGATGCTACCTTCGAAATCCTCCAATATCCGCCTATATCTGCCTTGAATTTACCGACGGAAACGATGCCGGCCGCATCCCATCCCTGTAGCCTGGTTAAGTGGTGTCGTTGACCACGACCATTGTGTCCCTCCTCGGACGAGTGAATTTCGACTCCTCGGATGGGGGCGTAGTGGCGAAGTGGCTTTTGGGTTTAAACGGGCCTCGGGGTGATGCCGCTGTCATCGTTCCACCATCTTCCTTGCGCTCGCTCTTGTTTGAGTCCCCAATATGTAACCCATGATAAATCAAACCCATGCATACCGATATGCTTGTATACTCCAATAAGACCCCCTAAGAGTCCTGAATCAGTCATCATCAGCCTGGTCGTTGCGCCAAGGGGAGTGGCTGGACAAGTCTCCGGGCCGAAGCTGCACCGCCGTGTGCGCGCAGGAGGCTACGATCCTGAAGATCAAGTGCCGTGGCAAGCGATGCAGGGGCCCGTGGGCGCCTTTCGAGGCTCTAGAGTTTTGGGTCGAGGTTGGCTGCTTTTGCGGTTTTGCACCGGCTGGCACCTGGCTTAGATAAGGTACGGTGGTGACACGAAGGTCGGCGACGAGATTGCAGGCTTTACTTTCAACGAGGCCTTCCTCACTAAGTTACTAAGACCACTAAGCCAATAAGCCATTAACGTGTTTTGGATTTTTGCTTTCCTTTTTGCCTTCCTTCTCTTGATGCGTCCGAAGCCGCCCGTCCAGGCTTCCCCAATGACGCCCTTCAGCGTGGCAGGCTTCTCCAAGCCAGGTGGGGAGTCGAAAGGTAATGCCTGCATGGATTTCAATAGGAACTGCCGCATGTTTTGGCTTTGCGCCTTTCCTGTGAAACCATATGGCCCTCGACCTTCTCTCCTGATCTGCTCGGAGCGCGATCGGTTCTGGCTACATCCATCAGCACTCCTAGATGCAAGAACACACGGAAGATTTAGACTTGCTGCTACGCTGCTACACTTTCTTCAATCCCAGAAACCCGGCCTGTAATCGGCAGCAATTGGCAGCTTTTTCCAGGCGGTCCTGCCCAGCTCAAGGGTGTTTATGCCGGCTGGTTCGTGGATGTCATGGCGTTGATCAAGTTGCTGGCCTTTTATGAAGTGGTTTCCCAAACTATCAAGCAGGACTTGTTTCACGTGAGAGCCCGTGTACCTCAGACAAGGCTGCCTTGATTGTACAAGGTGTTGCTTCATCGTCGAAGCCAGTTTTATGTTCAGGCACGGCGGTCGCAGTTTTCCGCCAGCCCTTGCACTGGGGTCACTAGGGCCCGAAAGGTGCCGACTGAGTTGTATGGGCTTGATTAGCTGATGTTAGCTGAGGCTCAAGAAGTTCAAGTCACTGGAGGGCGAGGGCTTCGGTGACCCCCCCAAGAATCTCACGGAGATCGCTGCGAACATCGAGGGCTTCAAGAAGCGCCTGGAAGCTCTCCGGGGGCTGTCAGACATGACGCTTCGCTGCTTTGGATTTTTGAGGGGCCTTGATTTCAGTGGGTGTTCGGAAGCCCCCACCATATGATGTTCAAAGGGATGTTGAGGAGGCGTATGGAGGCGTCTTCTTGGGATGTAAGTCAATGTAAGTTTCGTGCGGGATGCTTTTAGAATCCGTGGCGCACTGCTGATTTTTATCTCGGCTCTCCCTGAGAAACTTGACCTTCTACAACGGCCTCGACTTCCAGCTGCTTCCTGTCTGCGCGGCCAGCTATCAGGTGCGCGCCTTGAACCCTTGGGCCCTGGACTACCGAATCCCCACCCCATAAATCTCCTAAGCCCTGGAGTGCGCTCCAACTCGCCAAGTTTTGAAGAAAACATTGAGGGTTTGTGGGCAAAGGGGGAACTGTTAGATTCTGTTGTGATGGGCGTTTGCCACTGAGCCACTGAGCCTCCGCAGGGTGCGAAGGTGAGTGACGAGATTAGCAGCTTCCAGGCAGAAGGCGGGGCACTCGACTGTTTCAGGCCTTTTGGTCCTTGCGAGCATTTATTGGTGGCAAGATGTCACGTTGTCCTGAAGGGCCTTACATGGGTCGGCGAGGGAAAAACGCAGGGAGACTGCAGGAGAAGGGGCACAATGCACCCCTTTCCAAAGCTAATCTAAGCCAGCCTAGGCGGAGTTCTGAAAATCTCCGGCTTCTGCGACGAGGGCCCCGCGCAGGCTGCGGGGGTACGCTCAGGCTGGCACGTCAGCCTCTTTGGGAACCTCCGCCGCAGCTGATTCGTGGCTGGCCGCCCTGCCCTTTAAAGTAGTCGAAATCCTCAGCCCTGTAGTGCCCCACTAAAGCCTCTAAATCCGAAAGCCCTCAACGCTTTAGGATGCTTCAGGATGAACCCAGGCCCGAAGCCTGGCTGTGGGGCTAAAAAGGGCTTATGGGAGGTCTTCTTCGGGTTGAGTGCAATTCCTTCGCGTGTATTCCCAAAGTGGGAGCATCAGAGTGGGCGAAGGGACCCTGAAGCCTTGCCGTGTGCGAGGGAAGGGGGGAAGGGAGCCCTAAACCCCAGGACCTTCAACCTGCAAGAGAACAAAGCAGTGCTGGGAGATCTCACGCCACAGCAGGCCAGACCCCGGCCAGCCACCTCGGAATGGAAATTCTTTCGTCTTTGAAGTTTAAGTATACATGCCAGAGAAGAGGGGAGAGAGCGAGAGACACAAATAGATGAACAAGTATTAAGTTATAAGTAAACCTACGTACAAATACACATCTATATATAGTGTGTATATATATATATATGAAGAGACGCATTTCTATATGTATATCGATACCTGGTTTACATATGCCATGCCGATATACATAGACAGATCTGTATACATATATAAAATATATATATATATATATATCTATACACACGTGCGCGCGTGCGTGCCTGCCTGCCTGCCTGCGTGCCTTCCTTCCTTCCCTCCCTTCCTTTCCTTCCCTTCATTCCTTCCTTCCTTTCTTCCTTCCTTCCTCCTTCGTTCCTTACTTCCTCCCTTCCTCCCTTCATTCATTCATTCAGTCACTCATTCATTCATTCGCTCATTCATTCATTCTGTATGTGTGCATACGTAGGCTGCAGCTCCGACTTGCATCAGGGAGTATCGCTCGAGACTGCCCAGCCAGTAGAGCCAAGGCAAAAGGATCTCCAGGGTATATACGCTGTACACAAAACATTCACGCAACATGCATTTCTTTGACTTGGCTGGTGAATGTGTCTAGCCACGTTCTAAAAAGGCATCGTCTTCAAAATCAACGCTTTTGTTTGGGCTTGTTTTTTGAGTTCGGTTCGGTTTGGAAACCCGTGTGCAGAGAAGCTGTCGTTTACAATTCGCCGCGCCGTCTCGTTTGTAGCAGGTCTTGGAAGATCCAGAACGGTTACGCGAGCTTTCCGACATTCAGCTGATGTTGGCATCTTGGCTTGAAACGAGATGCTCACCCGGAAATGGTGTCAAGCTGATCTTCCACGCCAGTGCACTGCGGCCGATGTTCTTGTGTGTAAACCGCAAGGAGCCGGCCAATGCCGAGCCAGAGGAGCTTTTCTGCGGGTTCGGCGACGAAGACTGGACAGGTAGTGCAAGCACGCGCGGCAACAGCTGATGGGGGCCTGTACTTGTGGATCTTGTGGTTCAGTCATGTCTAGTCTCGCCTTACCGGGTGCAAAGTTTGCAAGGACTTCGCTCATTGTTCCCATCAACAACGCACAGTTTGTGTTTTCGACGGATGGCGATGGAAGCACCATGCTTCAGATGGAAGTTGCCAGGAGTTTGTGATGAGTTGAGTGGGAGGGGAGCATAGACGCGCTTCAATAGCATTGATCAAGGTGATGACCCAGAGCTGCGATGGGGCGTCTTCGCAGCAGCTTGGCATCATACTGGCGTAGGACGTTGATGTATCCGGAAGTGAGCAGCCCAACATGTGAATCGTCATTCTGCTCACGGCAGCACGCGAGTTGTAACCAGCCAGGTTGTCACTTCTGCCGATGAGCCTGAGCTGACAGAAAGCAAAATTGAGGACGGATGTGTTTAGCGTACCTCGTCCGTCCCCAAACAGGTTCACCTCAGCACGCGCGTTCTCGGGCTGCTGATGCTAGTCCTGCGGAGGCATCTTAGAATCTTATAGGGACCAGCCTTGGACACCTGGGACAGGAGTTGGTCGATGCCTACACCGCCGCTTCGGGCCGGATCGTCGGGAGCAACCTTGCAGAAGTCTCCATCGAACCAGAGGCGCTTGCGGATGGCCAGAAAACTGTTCACTAGCTGGAGTCACAGGTCAAATTGTTGACATGGAACGGTCCCGATGCACCCTTCAAATTTACCATGCCGACCATTGCCTTGCAGCGCAGTGATGAGGGGGCAGGCTTGACTGGAAAACTATGAGCTGCAGCTGGCTAGTGGGCCTCCTGTACAGGACTGGGATGAGGCCCGGTTGAAAGCGCTATGCGAGCGCCACGGCTGGGAGTTCGAGTGGATGACGGAGGCGCGATTCCTAGGTCACGTGGTGTTTGAGGAAATGCGGGGCTTCGAGTTGTGCATATTTGAAGGCTTCAGGGCTGGAAAAAGGATGAACAACATTGTAGCGTCCAAAGCTCCGTTGATCTGGCACAGCCAAGTGCATCACAGGTTCTCCCAGGAATCATATGAACAGCATCAGTGTCCATTTGCAACGTAGCTGGCACTCCAGAGGATTCAGTGCTGCATCTTGTTGAACTCGAGCGGACTCCAAACAGCGGATCCTCTACAAACATCACAAGTCTCCAAGACCCTGCGGCACGTCCGGTTGTGGGCTGAGCTGTGCTGGTTCCCTTTACCGCTGCAGCTGCAGGATGGGGAGAGGCGACGACGGATTGAGGGCGCTGAGCGGGCGAGGCGCTCATCGCGACGTCCGGCAGCGTCGTGCAGTCGGGGTGATGTCTTTGGGATGAGGATGTCTTTGGGATGAGGGGGTGGTTATGGTCTGCAGTTTGCCAGTGTCACCAACAGTCCTTGTAGTGGACCCCATTGTTCTAGCACGTTGCTTTCTTGCACTAGTGGCATTGCGTGTGCCAGGGAGGCGGTCGTAGTTCCCGAGAAGAAGGCTGCAGAAGCCGAGAAGGCCTCAGTATGTTTTTGATCAGCTGCCGAGGGTGTCGCCGGAAATCTGTGCAAGCCTTGTCTTTTTGATATGTTGTAAGAAAATCATATCCATGGCTATCTGTTGATATTCGAAGCCCTGACCTGGAAGTGAAAGAGTGCCAGGCAGAGTGCCAGGCATGTCCTGTCAGAAGTTGGTGGCCTCCTGAAAGCCCTATTTGTCTCACTGACTGGCTTTCCGAGTTCCCAGCCAGAAGCCCAAGCCCAGCACGTACAAGTCCCGGACCCGAAGAGGGTGTGGCCACACCACCACATGCAACATATCAATTCTTCATGGTGGGTTAACAAGAAAAAACAATACTGAGTACACAGTACGATGAACAACGAGAGCATTTTTTCTTCAGCCTGAAGAGCATCCCTAGCATGGCAGGCAAGGCATCGAGACGAGTTGGAGTGTGGGTAAGCAGGTTTCTGACCCCCTAAACTTCTTGGCTGGAGGCTAAACCGGCTCCTTGCAAAAGACTTAACCAAGTTACCAGAAAGGGGACTGATTATATTGGATTTATCGAAAGCAAGATACCTTAACATGTTATGTTAGCTCCTTAAGTTTCCTAACAAGAACCGGGTTGTCTCGTCTCTGGCAGTTGAGGGGCCCCCCCCCCCCCCCCCATCTCCTGGCACCTTCCATGCCTCGCAGTCTCCGGCTTGGTGGCGACTTGACTCGGTTGCACGGGCCTTCTCCTTCAACGAGCAGCGCCAAATGAAGCTTGGTGAGTTGAGTTTGAGGGTCACATGGATCAAAAAGCTGGGTTTTAGAGGGCATGTTACACCACTTCGATAAACCTTATAAGCCTTCCCACTGAACGTAAGTGAAAGCCGGCCTGCAGGCAGCATGCCATCTTTCATGCTTTTGAGGTTCTACTGATTCTACTGTTGGGATTTGCACGTACAGCGCCATGCCGAGCCGCTGACTCGAACCTTTTCTGTCAGGACAACTGTGCTTCTTCAACAGGAGCATGCGCACGAGACCCAGGCGAGAGCGCCATGCACAACGCCGTGAAACTCAAATGCGCCCAGAACAGACACACAAAGTCAACACATCTAAGAACCGCAAATGCAGGTAAGCGCGTTCATTGCAACACGGACAGCTGCAAAGCCTCAGGGACTAGAGCGCGATTTCGAGTGCAAATGCACGCGACTTGCTGGTGCCTGGCGACGTTTGTGGTCACCGACATGCGTACGGCGCCTGGACGAGAGCGTGGCAGGCCGTGGGCACGTGGAAACACTGAGAGGGTCATCTTTCGCGACTTGACAGGCGCACGGCGCCCAGGCAGGAGTGTCCGGCCGACAAGTAGGACCGACATGCCCTTGGCGTCAGTGGGCCCGTTGCCATCATGAAAGTCAAAAACCCGTGGTCCGAATCAGCATGGGAGTGTCGGTACTTTTGATGGACTGGCTGGCAGGTCCAATTTAGGACTTTTCAGAAGGATGCCGGACGGCTGTTTTCAGCTCCTTCCAAGGAAACGCAAAATCCAGCCGCCTCCACAGATCAAACCAAAGCCCCTTGGCAAAGCAGATGCTGGTGAGCATTTCAATTAACGCAGTTAAGACAGTTCCTCGGATTCTGCTAGTCCAGTTTTTCTGCGCAAATTGCATTGGCCAGCAGGTTCAGACAGGGCTCGGCCATGCCGTAATGACAATCCCAAAAAATCGTTGGAGGAATGGCTGATCATCATGGCTGGTTGTGAGTGCGAGGGACCTGTTTTTTTTGGTGCATGTAGACCCAGAGTCCTTCCAGCAATTGTTTGTACGAGCGGCAGCATGCCCCCAGAGCAGCTTCCGATGCTTCTTGAACATTTGCAGCCTCACAGGTCAGGTTGCTGCGCACACAATGCTTTCACCCACAGGCTGCCCGCGAATGATACGAGTTGGCCGGCTGTCTAGGGTCCTCTGCCCGCTTGGAGGACCCGACCGAGCTGTCTAATGGTTACTTTGTGCGACAGGCCATTTTCAGCGGGGTTGCTAGGTTTAGTCGGTTGCTTGACGAGCCCATGATTAGTCGTAGTGAGGGCCAAGGGGCTTCTCTCCTTGGTCCGGGCACTCCTTTGCAACTCCGTACGCTGGCGTCGAAAATGCATCCTGGGTCTCGTGAATCGCATCGTCAGAGGCGAGCTTTACGTGCATGACACTTACATGTGCGTTTCAGATCATTAACCGATTGCACAACCAACCATGTCAGGCCTCACCAAAGGCTCAGGGGGAGCAACCAAAAACCGCAACGCAGCCACCAAACGGGTCAGCTTAAACAGCCAAAGAGGTCCTTAGTTCAATGACAGCATTCCTCTGGACTTACTTCCTGTCGAAGCTCGCACTGAATAGCCATGTCCGAGCCGGGTTTGAAAGTGGGTTAGGTTGGGCTTGGGGTAGGTCTAGCTTGCTGTAGGTCAGGGTGTTTGGACTAAGGTTGTTTTAGATGAGGTAGTTCGGTTAAGGTTTACGGTGCACGGTCATTTAGGCAGGCTAGTTTGGGCGAGGCTATGGTAGCTTGTAGCGTCGGTGCGTTTGGGTTAGACTCGATTACTTTACTAAGGTTGGGTTCGAATAGCTTGCGGTTTAGGGTTGGGTTTGGGTCGCGTTTGGGGTAGGTGAGGGTCCATTGCACGTAAGGTCAGGTCAGCTCAGGTTGGGTTGGGGTTTAGAGGAGGTCAGGTCAGGGTTTGGCGTAGCTTGACGGCATTAGGTCTAGGTTGCCATAGGTTAGAGCTTAGACAATGTTTTTAGGGGAGGTAGCGGTTCGTTTAGGCTGGGCAAGGGTGAGGGTTTCGGGTAGCTTAGGTGATGTAAGGTCAGATCAGCCTAGGTGGGGTTAGGTTTGGGTTTAGAGGAGGTCAGGTGAGGTAAGGTCAGGTTAGGCTAGGTTAGGTCAGGGTTTAACGTAGGTTTGGTTGCAAGTTGCACTAGGTTAGGTGTAGAGCCGGGTGTTCGGGCTTAGGCATTTTTGCTGAGGTAGATCGGTTAAGGGTTTAGGGTCATTCAGGCCAGGTTAGTTTAGGCTAGACCCGCTTGCATTAGGGCTGGGTTTGGGTAACGTTTGGGGTCCCTTGCGTTAGGTTAGGGTAGGTAGGTTAGGTGAGGGTTTAGGGGACCAGGTCAGGTAGGGTCATGTCAGGCTAGCTTCGGTTCGGGTTTACGGTAGGTTGGGTTGGTTCAGTGTTTATAGGTCAGGTTAGGCTCCGTTGAGGGCTTGCGGTTTAGCAATTTGACCATCCATCCCGGACACTGCAAGTGACAAAGCTTGGCAGGCATTATGTTTGCTGTGAAAAAGCACGTGCAACACATTCTTGGATACCCAACCTTCTCGGATACCCAACCTGATGTCTTGGTTTTGGTCCCCACCTGCGTGTCTTCGTTGTGCAAGCCCGCTTTTGTGGTCATCATGTTTTTGCTTCTGGTGGTTGCGGAAGGGTTTAGGTGGTGTCGCCTGTTATTTTCGTGGGGCTTGCGGGCCTGTTTGGTGGAGTCCTTTTTCCTGTTTGGTGGGGCCTTTTTCTTGACCGTGCGTTTCACTTCACCTGTTGTTCATGAGACGGCAGGGCTCTAAATTGAGAGCCTCACCGCGATGCAAGCCCGTCGATGGCTCCTGGGGCTAGTGTAGTACACTATACATGCTCACACAATGGGTGTTTGTGGCGGGCTGCCAAGCCAGCCAGGAAGAAACGGCAGACATCCAATCCACCCCACCAACAGAATCAACGGCGTTAGGGAGTTCTTTGCTGTCCTTGCATGGAGATGCCATGGCCATCCCAAGCGATGAAGCGCCCGACCTGGATGCGCCACTTCTTGACCGTCCCTCCTTCCGGTGTCGGGCCTAAACTTTGCACACCTATTGAAGTAGTCTGTTCTCAGATTGTGTTCGGTCTGCGCGTGTTGGAAGACAGCAGAACGGCTTCGCACATTGCATCTCCTTCCCTATGTCCACAGCACGAACCCCAAACCTGGAGGCGCTCGGAGCGTCAGCTTTTCAATGCGAATCGGAAGGGACTGCCGGCGGGCGTGGCTGAGTTGCACGGGTATGCTACCAAATTAGAAGCTTCAGTGTCAAACGTGCAGTTCGGGTCGGGTCAGTTCAATTTGGATCATGTTTTTCTTCGGTTCGCTGCCTGCGAGGGAATCTAGAATTCTGCATGTGTCGAGTTTTCGGCAACTGAAATCCTGCGATTCAAAAGGGCGGGTTTGCCCGGTTACCGCTTGAACTCCAGGCAGAAGAGTCGGATTAAGCGCAGCTGTACGACAAGAAGCAACTCCCGAACCTGCAACAAAAGCAAGTAAAAGCTCAGGAATATCCCAGAACATTCGCTTCATACCACATGCCCAAAACTCCGAAGGTGGTAAGCCGCTTTGGCCGGGTGGCTGCGGAGCTCTTCTCCCCACCAGTACGCCGAGTGCAGAGTCGCGATTCCGAGAGCTCCGCGGACCTGGTTGAAGCGGGATGTAGCGCGGGGAAGCTGTGGTAGTTCGTCGCTGCTGGAGGGTCTCAAGGTTTAATATTTTTCTGCCTAGGGCCTAGACAAGCCCGATGTGCAGAGTTTTCACAAGTCGAGCAGCTGATGGCACAACCAAACGGAGGGCGCGAACAAAAATTAAATCGAGTGGGGGCAGTGGGGGCACGCAAAGATTACTTACGTATGAGTGGTGCAATGGACAGAGAAACCAGCGACGTGATTAGCAAACCAACGACATCAGGTTCCACAGTGCTGAAGCAAGGACAAAGAAGCGAAGCTCTGCTCATTGGATGCTTGAATTAGAGGCCACATGAGGCCACCATATGCTACTATGTAAGGCAACAGATTTGAAGTGCGGAAGCATAGTCCAACAGCCCAAAACCCCCAAGTTCCAAAGTCCACCAGTCAAAAGGCCTAACAAAAGAAATTCAAGTCCCTTCCCAGACTCCGCCGGCCAAAGTCCCTGGAAAAACAATCTGGAGCGCTTGGATCGGAGGCCGATCAGCCAGCGCCTTGCCTTCACTTGCCCTACCACTGGATCGGATGCGGGGTTTCTCTTGTTTAGCAGGTTTAATTATTCTGTTGGGTGGTTGGGGCGGGGTTCTGGTTGGCTCATCCGTTTCACAGTGCGATGTTTATGTGCTGGGCTGCTGTACGCGGCATGCCGAGTTCGCTTCTTCTTGCCTCCGTTGAATTATTAGCATCATCTTTGTCGACCCTTTTTTGATAGTATTTGTCAAGCTGGCCAAGACCCATTATTACACATGAACAGGAAGAAGGGCCTGAGCTTTCCACATGTGCAGATCATGTGCAGATCGAGGGGGCCCCTGAAGATGCGGAGCGGAGAACGATGCACCTTCCGGATCTGTGCGGATGCTTACTTCTGATCTGAATGCTTCTGGAGCCCGCATACCTAAGGAGCTGTCAGGAGCTGCTTACAGGCCAAGCTGTGGGAGCACCTGGATCCTGGTTTGACCACTTCTTGCATCGTTCTGTTATATTCAGTGGACCTGGAGTCCACTGCCAGTGCACTGCCTTCAAAATCGTTGTGCAACCATGCATATGCTTTTGCAATGGTTCAGTGTCGCGTGAAGGAATGTAGCCGCGCCTTCTATGCCCAGCAAGCTTGAGCCGTTTCACACTAACAGGACTTGCTTTATTTGCCAGGCTCACAACACAACGAGGAGACTGTGGGCCCCTACGCATCGCGCTTGTCATTGTGAGTGAGAAGGGTCGAGTGATGTTTGGGGTTTACAAGTTTAGACTTTGTGTCCTGGGACTTCATCACCCCACGGGTGTTCCCATTGTTGAGGTGCCAGGGTTGCAGGATGTTGCAGGCTTGGCGTGGCGTTGCGGAGGTGGTGCTTCCGAAGGTTCGTCAAGTACGCGGCTGCATTACAAGGGTTTGCAAGACTTGAAGGTGTTGAGGGTTTCGTCGTTCCGCCCCTGAGGCCGTCGTCCATCAGACATGTGCGCGTAATCACGTAATCTTCGTAAACTCTAGGATTCGGCTTCCGAGGCACACCTGAAGCTTACAGTCCACTGTGCGCGGCAACTGCAGCTTGGCTACGAGGGGTAAGAAAGGTAGCAGAAACGTGAGGCCTTGATTGCCAATATCCCCTTGCAGCAAGACTCTGTGACAGTGCTGGTTCGGTTGAGCGGGGGTCTGTATAGGTTGTGGCGGGAGACGAGTCGATTTTTTCTCGAAATAACAAGCACAACTCTAAGGTCCTATTTGTGCCTAGCGTGGCTTGTCCGAGTGAGCGATCAAGGTAGGGGCACGGTTGGCATGTCTTTATGGTGCCCGGGGGGGGGGGGGGGGGCAAGGCCGGAATTCAGGGTGAGTGTCAAACCTTATCAGGAACTGCCGGATAAGGGGGAACCCCTCGGCTCCTCCCCAAACCACCGACCACGAGCCACCTTCGCAACCCTAGCTTTCGTTCGCCCTGCTCGCAAGTAGCAGTTGTAACCTTGCTCGGGTACTTAATGCGCATAGAAAACTCATACATATAACTATTCAAGAGCCCCAAAGCAGCCGGAGTAAGGTTGGCCATGGATGCGAGTGGCACCTCAGATCCGTACATTGAGGTCTATGTGAACGACGTGCAGCGGGTGGGCCTGCAGTAGGTGTTACGTTTTGGGGCACTTCGGGGTTTCAGTCCACATGCAATGCAAACGGCATTTCCGAACATGTCCTTGTGATGGGCTTCAGCATCCTGTGACCTCTCCGATCCAGGCCAAGAGCAAAACGATCAAGCGGACGCTGAATCCCGAGTTCGCCTGGGAAGTGGATGTTGAAATCTGGTCTCCATTTTCGATCGTGTCCCTTCGCGTTGTGGACAAGGACTTCGTTACGAAGGACGATCCGATAGGATTCGTCGAGTTCTGCATCGCGGATTTGGTGCCAAACGGTGACGAGGTACGAGGCTGGCTGGAGCTCCGGAAGATGGAGCACTTCGAGGGCAATGCCAAGAGACGCTTTCTAAAGCACCGGCGGCGGAGAGACGATAGCTGTAATGATGAGTTGGACGAAAGTCCACTGCACGAGCATGATCTGCCCGAGCACGAGGGCTTTGAGGATGAGACGGGGTTCTCCACTGCTGTTCGTCGTTTGAATGGCCATGGCCTTGCTCGGAGCATGTCCAGGGCGGCAGAGACCGTCAAGTCCCAAGTAAAGACGCTGCAGACGCGTGTGGCCAACGCCCACCCCCCTCGCCCGGCGATGTGCTGTGCGGGTTTGAAGAACGATGACGATGACGAAACATCTGGATTCTTGAAGTGGCGCAGGAAGCGGCTGAATGCCGGTGAGATTGAAGTATCGCTGAAGCTGGAGACCACGATGCAGTCAACGCCCAACCATGAGACTCCAAAGCACGAGCTGCTGTACACGGCAGTTTTTGCCCCCGACAGGACGACGGTGGTGTCGCGGTCCCATGTGCAGCCTAGCTCTAACAAGGCTTTGTAGCTTGGCCTGTGTTGTGACGTGCTCTGTGCTTTATAACTACTGTGGATGTTGGGAAGGTTTGCCATTCATCTCACCACGTGGTCCTCCGATCATGTAACATCCGGCTTGTCCCATTCGCAGAGCCCAAAGATCGCCTCCCGAGCTTGACGTTGTGGACCCCAAAAGTCCAATAACCCGGCTTCAGTCGGGGCCAAGCAGGATCGAGGAAGTGGTCACGGATGCAGAGTGGTTTGCCTGCTGCTTTCCAATGCCGTCTTTGGACTGCAGCAGATCAGGGTATACCAGGGTTTTGAAGGAGACTGAGCCGGAGCGCTGCCTGAAACATAGCTGGTACTAGTACAGTACATCAGTACATCGCACGGTCTGGACTGACGACATGTTCTCACAGGTTAAGATGGCTTAGGGCCTTAGGGCAAGCCCCAAATTGTGTCCTTCTGCAGGCGGTTGTGCTTGTTTTTCTCCTGCTGACTACAGTACTTTCGTGATCTAACCGGCGACCTAAATGACTGAGTCTCATCTTCTTCCCGCTGGTAGCAAGGTTTCAGCCGGATATGCTTTGATCTAGAGGGACCCTCATGTTCAACCAGCAAGATGCAGCTGTGTCTGTGTGCGTGCGTATGTGTCAAGGGCATTCCAGTAACATCGTGTGCAGAAGCTTGCAGGACAAGCAGGGCTTCGTCTGCTTTTTGCGTGGCAGGTGGGGGTTGGCGGCCTTGCGCGCGCATCGCTCGCGGAATGGGGGTTACGGGAAGTCACCGAGTTACCCTCCCTAAAGTAAGGAACTTCTCGGGGGATCGTGGGTCCAGATTGCTGGACACCTAAGTGGTCTCGTGATTTCTGTAGCCTTTGGACAGTTGTCGGTTGCATGGTGATTGTACTCTCGACCACCTTGGTGATCTGTGTCTCCGGGCAACGGTGTTCAATCCGCACATTCAAGGCATGCTTGCGCTTGCAGCGAATTGTTGCGACGTTCTCTTTGGAGTCCGAACAGCCGGGTTCTTTGGGGAATAGATTTCCCCTCTTGCGACTTGTTTCCGTTACGTGCCACTTCGAGCCTCAAGAAGAGGAGGCGAGTCCGTGATGATCCCTGATGCGCATGTTCTGACGGCCAAAGCTAGCAGGTCCGAGTTGCGAGCCCAAACCCCACAGTTCACATTTTTGGTGATGTGCAACCTGTGTAGAATGTCGCACAGCACTGAGAATCCACTGCGAGGACTTTTCTGAACCACCGGCATTGCCTCAGGTCCTTTCAGAGCGCGGAGCAGCTCTCCGACAAGTTCTCGCTGGCCACCAGTCTGCATCCTTTACGAGCTTTGTAATTGCCACAGACGGCAGCATAATCAAGAATGGCACCCGGTGCGGTGCAGTGCCCATTTAGGCTCGACGACTAGGCGGGCTTCGCTGGGGTAGTGTTCACGAAGCTTTTGGAGTACAGATGTCTGTGACAGTACCCAAGCATTCAATTGGAGCAGTGGGCTGACATGAACTTGGTTTGCTGTGGACTTGATGGCGGGAGCTGGACAGCAGATTCTCAGTGAATGTGATTGAAAATGCGGGCAGCAGTATCCTTGCCTGGTTTGTCTGGGATGTAACGTAGGAACTTCGCTGTGCCAGCAACCATGACATACCATTCAAACCTTTATGTTCGCCGAGGGATCCATCAAGACCTTCTGGGAGGACTTGCTGGAAGTGCTGGAGCAGCTCTTACAGGCATTCATCAGCGTAATGCTTTTGAAAGGTCACCTTTCCAGACAGTCCTGTGAAGTTGCACCGAGCTTAGGATGAGTTCGGGTAGAGTCCGCTAATGTCTAACCCTGATCAGGGTGCACCCCGGTTACTGCAGTAAACGTTCCAACCGTATTTCTGACATAGTCTGACCGGTCGGTTTGTTTTGCACCCCATCAACACGTGAAAGTTTTCGACATGCATCTCCAGATCATGTAAAGACTTGAATGCCTCAAGGCTGAAAGGCTGAAGGCGACCTGGGCAGGCAGTGGGGGCTGGGGGCCCCCAACGGGCCACGACCGGGAGGGGGGGGGGGGTCTGGCAAAAACATGCGGTGGGGGTGACGCGGAAAGAGGAGGGAACATTAATCAGCGGTCCACGCTACCCACAAATCCCAAACCCCAAGCCCTGTGAGGTCTTTGTGTGGCCGATCGTCAACATCTTCCTTTTGCTTGTGGGCAGCATTGGCAATAAACCCTCAGCAAGTTGCTAAGAACAGGAATGGTAAAGACGGGCGGGCTTGAATGTGCCTTTGACACACGAGAGTCAACAGCTACAGGATTGTGGGCTGGTACTACTGGCCGCTCTCTTTCGGCACTTTGGCCTACTTGTGGCTTTGGTCTTTCTGGTTTGCAGACATGATCTGCTTTCTGCCGCTCTTTGTGCTGGCGCCTGGGCCGCTACAACCCTTTTGAAGGGAGGGTCCGAACAGATTCGAACCTTGAGGTGTCGTAGGGTTTGTCGAATTTCGAGCTTCGGAATGTTCAGGGTAGTTTGTGAAGGCTCAATAGGCAATACGCAGCCAAATCGACGCATGATGACCAGCCTCGTGCACAGGCAAAAAAGCGACAGAACTGCAGAACAGAATCCACGGTGCAATACTAATGCTGGTTGCGTGGTGATGTAGAGTGTCTGACCTATCGATGCCTATTGTTAGTTGCGTCTTGCGGTGAATGGCCTTACACTATAAGCCTTACATGCGTGAGTGGTCCTGGCAAGCACAGCGCATTGGCCCCGAAGTCTCTGCAGGCTAAGCACTGAAGGCTGCAAAATGGCTAAAGCCAACCACAGTGATTGCGAGGAGAGAGGCGTCTAAGGAAGCGCGGCCCCTGCATGTCGAGGTGTGCTTCCTCGTCTTGCGCGATCACAAGTACTCCAACCGCCTATTTGCGCATCCGAAAGTTGCGCCTTTAAACCAAAGAGGCCTGCTCGATCCCGGGTTGGGGTGGTGGGGGGTCCGAAGCCAGCCACCCTGCAGGTTTAGCCATGGTCGCATTTCTCCGCAGTTCAAAGGCCGGCAGCCGAGGGTGCAGCGTGTGAGAACCGCCAGTCTCACACCCGCGATTGAAAAAAAAGACAGCATGTTGTCAGCAAATTGCAGCAGTGCAGGGTGTGGGGTCACCAAGCCTAAGGTCTAGCAAAGAACCCTGAGCTCCATGGCATCGCTTTTTTGGGGCCCAATGGCCCCAGCCCCCAAGAGCCGGAGGCCATGGCGCAGTGGATCAAGCGCCTGGTCAAAGATCAGGGCGGCTGGATCGACAAGCCCGCCGCAACATGGCTGCAAGGCTATTCGGCGAGGGCGGCGAGGGGCTTTCTCTTGTCATCCAAGGGGAAATGGCAATTTTTGGGACACATATGAGGACACGTGCGCGACTGCACGCTGCCCAAGAAATCCGTGCTCTCCGAACCCTGACGCTTTCTTGGTAAGCCGAACGTCTTGGCTGGGAACGTATCCGACTGTATCGGCATACTCGACATGTTCAAGATGCCAAGAACGCGGTATCCCAAGAAGAGCAGAACCCAAAGCCCCAAAACCTGCATAGAATTGCAGAAAGCAAACAGCCCAGGGCTTGAAGGAGTTCTCGAAGGGGACGCACAAGGATGGGGAGCCGGCAGGGCCCTCAGCCCAGATGAATCCACAACCCTTGTGACATTGTGGCTGTGGCCTCGAATCTCAAGCGTGGCAAGCCACCCCATTCCTGAGAAAGTCCGACGCACCCATGAGCAACGTAAACCGGCACCACTATCGCACAATAAGTGCTAAAAGTGCAAAAAGAAAAGCACCCCCCAACGACCCCAGAATTTTGCCCAGTCACGAGGCATGCGTCCTAGCAGGCAAGGACACATTGACGGCTCTATCCAGTCGTGGCAGTTGTGCAACTCGCCCCAAGAGCCACAAGAGGAAGGCTTACTCGACGGAAAATCTGACCTTCTCAGCTGAAACTGGGAGCCTGTAAACCTGAGCTGATCCCAAATTTTCTACGTAAGGCCCAGTCTTTTGACGAACTCTTGGAGATGTTGCGGCACAAGAACTGCCGCCGGCCAGCAAGGGGCGTGAAGTTTCGCATTGGCATTGGTCCTTCATGCTTCAGAGAACCATTAGGACCATTAGCATCTTGAACGCACAACACCCTGAAGTGGGGCAGTCTCAGCAACAGGCCGTGCTGGAGTCACATTGCGAAGTCTCTAGCACGCCGGCTAGGTCAGCTCATGCACCATGTCGAAATGCGAGTGCCGGCCGCTCCCGTCCCTCACTGCACGACTTCCGGCTCAGCTCAGTAGACCATCTCGCGTGCCGTCCTCCCAACGCCCTTGTTGACCACAGATACCTGTTGACCAAGATGGGCAACTGCAACGCCATCACCGTCGCCGCGGAGAGCAGCGAGATCCAGGCCGAATCGGCGCAGCGGCATCCAAGCCTGATGTCCCTCCCCCTGCGCACAAACATGAAATTCGGGTGGCGACCCGACATGCCGGATCATCGCGACCTCCGCGTGACCTTTGACAAGGTGGATGCTCCCAGCCACATCAAGAAGAGGGTGGAGGGAGACGGGTTTGCAGGTAGCATCGCAAGAGTGCCCCTTTTTGTTTCAAGGGTCTCTGGGTTTTCATAGGACTAGTTTCAAAGGTCGTTGATGCTCACCTCCATTGAAGCCCAGGAGAACAGGAGATCATTGACCTGCGACCTATGAATGGTGGCTTCCCCATCTTCGATCAGGGACATTTGGGCAGCTGCACAGCGAACGCTTTGGCGGCAGGCTTCCATTTCGCCCTGCACAAGATGCAGGTGGAGAACCACAAGGACTTCGCAGACTTCACCCCCAGCCGCCTGTTCATCTACTACAATGAGCGGCTGGTGGAAGGTAGCGTGAATCAGGATGCTGGTGCGATGATCCGTGACGGCATCAAGGTTATGTCGAAGGTGGGCGTGTGCCCGGAGAGCGTCTGGAAGTACGATGATGGGCCCAGCTTCTTCAAGCAGCAGCCGGATGACAAGGCCTACGAACTGGCCCAGAAGTGCAGGGTCATGGGCTATGCCCGTGTGGCACAGGACCTGAGCCAGTTCAAGGCGTGCCTGAAGAACGGCTACCCCTTTGTGTTCGGTTTTGCTGTCCTGACAAGCTTCCAGACAGCGGAGGTTGCCAGGACCGGCAAGATGGTGATGCCCCAGGCGACGGACCAGCAGCTTGGTGGCCATGCCGTGTGCGCCGTGGGCTACGACGACTTCCAGCAATGCTTCATCGTCCGCAACTCCTGGGGAGAGGGGTTGCTTGTCCGGATGGGCACGTGTGCTAGTGCGAGTAGTTTCAAGTTTGTTCATAGTCACTGATGACGGCTTTTGTCACAGGACTGATTGTGTAGTGGGCTTTTGCGCAGCCAGGTGGGGCGACAAGGGCTACTTCTACATGCCATATGAGTACATGTGCCACCCTGCCCTCGCCTCCGATTTCTGGGCCATCAACTGGGTTGAGGGCTTCAAGAACACTAGCAGCGTGACGTCGGCGAGTGGCATGCTGCAAGCTGGATCGGTGCCGAGGCATCCGAGTGTGTTGTCCCTGCCGATGCGAACGCACATGAAGTTCGGGTGGCGACCCGACATGCCAGACCATCGGGACCTTCACATGACATTTGACAAGGTCAACGCTCCCAGCCACATCAAGAGGAGGGCTGAGGGAGACACGGTCTGCTTAAAGTGTTTCTTTATAATTATTTGGTGATTTCTGCCGAAGCAGTAGAGAGCTGTGTTCGAGCTGTGGTTTTTGCTTAGGAACGAAAGAGATCATTGACCTGCGACCGATGAATGGTGGCTTCCCCATCTTCGATCAGGGACATTTGGGCAGCTGCACAGCGAACGCTTTGGCGGCAGGCTTCCATTTCGCCCTGCACAAGATGCAGGTGGAGAACCACAAGGACTTCGCAGACTTCACCCCCAGCCGCCTGTTCATCTACTACAATGAGCGGCTGGTGGAAGGTAGCGTGAATCAGGATGCTGGTGCGATGATCCGTGACGGCATCAAGGTTATGTCGAAGGTGGGCGTGTGCCCGGAGAGCGTCTGGAAGTACGATGATGGGCCCAGCTTCTTCAAGCAGCAGCCGGATGACAAGGCCTACGAACTGGCCCAGAAGTGCAGGGTCATGGGCTATGCCCGTGTGGCACAGGACCTGAGCCAGTTCAAGGCGTGCCTGAAGAACGGCTACCCCTTTGTGTTCGGTTTCGCTGTCCTGACAAGCTTCCAGACAGCGGAGGTTGCCAGGACCGGCAAGATGGTGATGCCCCAGGCGACGGACCAGCAGCTTGGTGGCCATGCCGTGTGCGCCGTGGGCTACGACGACTTCCAGCAATGCTTCATCGTCCGCAACTCCTGGGGAGAGGGGTTGCTTGTCCGGATGGGCATGTGTGCTAGTGCGAGTAGTTTCAAGTTTGTTCATAGTCACTGATGACGGCTTTTGTCACAGGACTGATTGTGTAGTGGGCTTGCGCACAGCCAGGTGGGGCGACAAGGGCTACTTCTACATGCCATATGAGTACATGTGCCACCCTGCCCTCGCCTCCGATTTCTGGGCCATCAACTGGGTCGAGGGCTTCAAGAATGCGACCACCAAGAATCCTATTAAGAAGTGAGATGTTCATGCTGTTGCTTTGTACAGTCCGTTTGTGGCATCCGGCTATCCCCAGAGGGGTGGTTGGGAGGGAAAAAACCCTGCGATGCGTAGGGGGTTTAACAAAGTATGCTGTACAGCGTATCGCGTAGGACGGTCTACAGGACTCAGGCAAAAGGTGGCTCACATGCTTTCAGTGGTGCGTGCTGCGTCTAGCCGTCCCAACACGGGCCGTGTAGTAGACTCCAGCCGTGGCTAGTATTTAGGCCAGCTCGCCCGCGGTGTAAAGATAGGCCCCAGCCGCTCCCGTCCCTCACTGCACGACTTCCGGCTCAGCTCAGTAGACCATCTCGCGTGCCGTCCTCCCAACGCCCTTGTTGACCACAGATACCTGTTGACCAAGATGGGCAACTGCAACGCCAGCACCGTCGCCGCGGAGAGCAGCGAGATCCAGGCCGAATCGGCGCAGCGGCATCCAAGCCTGATGTCCCTCCCCCTGCGCACAAACATGAAATTCGGGTGGCGACCCGACATGCCGGATCATCGCGACCTCCGCGTGACCTTTGACAAGGTGGATGCTCCCAGCCACATCAAGAAGAGGGCGGAGGGAGACGGGTTTGCAGGTAGCATCGCAAGAGTGCCCCTTTTTGTTTCAAGGGTCTCTGGGTTTCTTAGGACTAGTTTCAAAGGTCGTTGATGCTTACCTCCATTGAAGCCTAGGAGAACAGGAGATCATTGACCTGCGACCTATGAATGGTGGCTTCCCCATCTTCGATCAGGGACATTTGGGCAGCTGCACAGCGAACGCTTTGGCGGCAGGCTTCCATTTCGCCCTGCACAAGATGCAGGTGGAGAACCACAAGGACTGGAAGCCCGCCTTTTGCTTGCCTGTAACTTCCTGTGTTTTGCTACATTTACTTGCTTGTGACTTCTTGTTTTGCTTATTCGTAACTTTCTCCGTGCCGTTTCCCGAGGAGGGGTGCCAAAACCCTTGCTTGCCTATAACACTGTTTTGGCCTCAAACTGCGAACGCTGTGAATTCCAGCATGTGCAGTCCGTTACAGGCTTCAACTGGGTTTAGGGTTTAGGGTTTAGGGTTCAGCATCTCAAGTTCGAGCATTTACTAGGCCAGCAGCAGTGTGTGTGGGCAACGGCAAAGAACCCACCCGCCCAAAGAATCCCACAACATTACGAAAACAAAAAGTTTACTAATTTCTTTTCAGACGCACCAAGAGACCAAACAATCACACAGGCCTCAAGTTATTCCATCCAGGAACCCTGAGTCCTGAATCAGTCCTGTGCCCTGCTAGCTTCGTGGCTCTGCTGAGCTGCAGAGCCTGCCAACCGCACTGAACAATGGGGGTCAAAGGCGTCAGAGATTGCCTAATTCGTGCTGAACAATAAGCGGCAAAAGGGGTCAGAGGGGCCAAAATGGACCAAATTGCCTAATTCGTGCTGATCAATGGGGGGTCAAAAGGGTCAGACTTGCCAAAATGGATCAAATCGCCAAATTCGTGCTGAACAAAGGGGGGGCCACAGGGGTCAGATAGGCCGAAATGGATCAAATCGCCAAATTCGTGCTGAACAATGCGGGGGCCACAGGGGTCAGAGAGGCCGAAATGGATCAAATCGCCAAATTCGTGCGGAACAATGCGGGGGCCACAGGGGTCAGAGAGGCCGAAATGGATCAAATCGCCAAATTCGTGCGGAACAATGCAGGGGCCACAGGGGTCAGAGGGGCCGAAATGGATCAAATCGCCAAATTCGTGCTGAACAATGCGCGGGCCAAAGGGGTCAGAGGGGCCAAAATGGATCAAATCGCCACTTTCATCCTGAACAATGCGGGAGCCAAAGGGTCAGAGGGGCCAAAATGGATCAAATCGCCACATTCATGCTGAACAATGCGGGGGCCAAAGGGGTCAGAGGGGCCAAAATGGATCAAATCGCCACATTCATGCTGAACAATGGGGGAGGCAAAGGGGTCAGAGGGGCCAAAATGGATCAAATCGCCACATTCATGCTGAACAATGGGGGAGGCAAAGGGGTCAGAGGGGCCAAAATGGATCAAATCGCCACATTCATGCTGAACAATGGGGGAGGCAAAGGGGTCAGAGGGGCCAAAATGGATCAAATCGCCACATTCATGCTGAACAATGGGGGAGGCAAAGGGGTCAGAGGGGCCGAAATGAATCAAATCGCCAAATTCGTGCTGAACAATGGGGCTGAGAGGGGCCGAAATGGATCGAATCGCCAAATTCGTGCTGAACAACGGGGGGAAAAATTGATCAAATCGCCAAATTCGTGTTTAACATTTAGGGTTATATGGTAGGGAGGTTTAGGGTTTAGGGTTGAGGGTTGAGGGTTTAGGGTGTCCAGGTACTAAAAGTCACGACTAAGCACAAAAAAAGATACAACTAAGCAAAAAAAGCTACA